TATCTATATATGGAAAAAATTGGGATTAGCCTATTAACTCATATGAACGTATGAGCCTAAGGCCCAGATTGAATTTGGATCGATCTGATGGTCACAATTTCATTTCGTGTTTGAATTTTAATTTTTTTTTCTGCAAATTCAAATGACTTGAAATTCTAAGCGTGTTTTCTTCTCATCAATTTGCACTTAATAAAAATATAAAAAAAAGTATTTGCAAAAAATAAATGACCAAAATATTGTCGAAACATTTCGAGGGTATTTTGGTCAATTTATTTCATGTAAAATAGTTTTTTGATACTTTTCAAAGATTAAACTATTTTTTATGAATGCATTTCTAAAATTTTAAGTGATTTGGATTCGTAGAAAAAAAAATTAAAGTTCAAACAGTATCAGACATCTGTGATCGTTAGATCGGTCCACATTCAATCTGGGCCGTTGGGCTTATATGTTTATATGAGCTAGTGGGTTAATCTCTTCATATATATATATATATATAACATCACTTAAAATTTAGTAACACAATGAATAATAGCAAGTAATTCTTTTTTGACAGTAGAATAATTCTTTTGCGTGGGATTCCATGCTTTCGAGGTAAAGCGAATGAGTTGTTCTTTGGAATCTATAGATTGTTTTAATATTCCGCCTAATCCTATGTCAGAAGCATCACATTCAATTATTTTAAATGCAGTCGGATTAAGTAAAGATAAACAAGGCAATTCTTTAGCTTTCAACTTAAGTCGTTGAACAACAGTTGTATGAAGATCAGTCTAAGGTAGATGATTCTTTTTTAATCTATCATATAAAGGTTTTGCATCAATAGCAAGATTTTGATAAAAATCACTAATATAATTTAAACATCTTAAAAATCTTTGAAGTTCGGTTTTATCGAGAATTTTATCAGGGAATTTATCAGCAAATAAAATAGATCTTTCAATGGGAATGATAGTGCCTTCATCAATATTATGTCCTAAAAATCTTATTTTTGTTTGAAATAAATTGATCTTTTTAGCAGAAACAACTAATCCAGCATGTTTCACGGTATTGATAAAAGTATTCAGATGTTTAAAATATTGATCTATTGAATCAGAGAATATTAATACATCATCAATGTAGACTATCATAAATTTATGATAAGGATTAAATACATCATGCATTATTTTTTGAAATTCAGATGGAGCGTTTTTAAGACTAAAAGGCATGACATTCTATTCAAATTGGCCGAATGGTATATTAAATGTTGTTTTGTATTTATCTTCTTCAATTTGTATTTGCTAAAATTCAGACTTCATATCAAATTTAGAAAAGATGATTGCATTTACAAGTCTGTCTAATAAATCTTTTTTATTAGGAATTGGATATCTAATCCATTGTAGAACTTTATTAAGAGGTTTATAATTAATAACTAAATGAGGAACTCCTCTTTCTTTTTCAGCATTTTTATTTACATAAAAAGCTGAACAACTCTAAGGAGATTGACTAGGTCTTATGAATTTTTTTTGTAATAGATCCGAGATTACCACTTACAAATCTATTTAAAAATTTATTTAAAATTCTATGAATAGAGTATAATTATAATTGATTAATTGTTGTAAGATTCCTATATAATAAAAGAATAAAACAATTAGAAAGACAACAGAGATTAAAGAAATATCTAAAACAATCCACGACATATGCCTTGAATTCCTAATTTTAATACTGAATACTATTTTGAATTGCATGAAGAATAAACAGAGTGATCATATAAAAACTTAATAGAATATTGCAACTCATTGTTTACAAAGACAATAACTGGAGAAGATACTCCATTCAAAAAGACAGTAAGAGGGAAGAAAAGGGATATTACAATCACACATTTAAAATTACAGAGTAATAGAGGTTACCAACTGTATGTCGCTTATACAGGACTGTTATGAAAGCAAACCTACTGTATGAGAATTTACAGTAGTAAAGAAAGGAGAAAGAGAAAAGAGATGAGGAAGAGATGACTCAGGGATGTGATGAAAAAGGTCTTCTCGTATGGCGTCCTTGAAACTCGACCTGCTTTCTTTGTTGAAGGAGGTGGTATTTATAGATGCAGGGATGCGTCGATGTGCAACAGGTGGACGGCTGGGATGCGTCTGTGATTCATCCTTATCGTCAGGTGAGCTGGCTGAAGGTGATGGCCGAAAGAGAAGGAGTGAGGACGCGTCGGTGATGTTATGTAAAGATGCTGTATAGATAAGGGCTGTTGTCGTGATGCAGAAATGTTGGGGCCTTGTCTGGAACGTGGTTGTTTCTCATTGGTCGACGAAGGATCGATGAAGGCATTGATGTGACAAATATTTAGTCAAATCAAAACAGAATCTTGTAACACTGTATTTGGGGTCTTGTCTTGATACGTGGCGATTACTGGGGTAAGGAGTTTACTATACAGCGGTCTTATCGTACGAAGGAATCTTGCTTTTACTGTTTAGCAGGTCATGTCAAGTCTTATCAAGTGAAAGAGAGGATCATATCAGATATGGGATATGTTGTAGATAAGATATTATGGAGATAAGATATTATGGATTATTGGGCCTACGAGTCTGGTTTTTGACTGAAATCCTCTAGTAAGGGATTACCAGATTGGACTGTTTCTTCTGATGTCGCCGGTACTGTAGAAGGTTCAGCAAAAATTTCAAAGAGTTGTTGTTCTAATTCAGCAAGAGTAGCATGATGATAGGCTTGTTTCATTTGCTTAATATAAGAAGAGAAAGTATGTAGGTCAACAGTATTGGGTGCAGTATTATGAGCAGAAGTATTATACACCTCAGAGGATGGAGGAATCATTTTGAGAGGATAAGTACGTGGATCTGTGCTAAATATATCTCATCATTTGATTTTAATTATTTTTCCAAGATGGGGAATGTATGTATAATTATTCGAATTATTTTCAGAAATAGCATACTCCCATTTGCAAATCCAAGGTATTTGATATATGGACATAAAATAAAGATGGTAGTCTATCAAATCTGTACAAGTATTATGTTCAACAAATTTATTTTGGAAGGCTTGGAAGTTGTCTGGTAGTATTTAGGTAGAAGATTCCCAGATAAGGAACCAATGATGGAACCAGCTAGGAAACCTTTCAAGGATAGACATTTTGAACTGTATGTACCATGAATGAGTATTATTAGGATTCTGGTATAAAAAGACTTTATGCCAGGCTTCAATATATTTAGCATACCGAAAATATTTGTATTGGTATTCAGTATTTAATAGTTTTTTCTCTTGCGTGGGGTTATTACGCCAATCAACATAAGTAATTTTTTGACCTGTAGCTTAGAATAAGCATACAGGTTTGTATTTCCTTTAAAGAAATGAATAATGGAAACTGATCCTGTTTCCATTAAAACAGATTCATACCATTCACGGGTTTTGATACCATTGATTGGGTTTAAATGGTTTTGAAGGTAAATGGGAGCTAATTTATGTTGGTCAATGTGAATGTGTTTGTCATCGTTGGGAATATCAGCTAGGAAAGCATTATCTATATAAGTAGATTTAGGTACTGAGTGGAGACATTGGTTGTATTAACGCTTCAGAAGCTGCAATTAAAAATGATGATATTGAATTTAATAATTTAGTCCATACTTATAATAATAAAAACACACCTGAATCTTCAGGAGTCAAAATAAAAGAAGACGATACTATATCTGTCAATATACTTAATAAAGTAATTACTCAAAAATGGTTTGTATTAATCAAAATTGTAATCAATAATGAGTATGATTTCCAATCTTTAGCCTTAATAGACTCTGGAGCAGATTTAAACTGTCTCAATGAAGGATTAGTACCTACTAAATATTTTGATAAAACAACTCAAATCTTAAACACTGTTGATGGTAGTCGATTATATATTAAATATAAATTATCAAATGGCATTATCTGCAATAATGGACATTGTTTTCCAATCCCTTTTATCATGGTTAAAGGATTAAGTCAAGCTGTTATCCTTGGTGTACCTTTTCTGACTTTACTTTATCCCATGACAATTACTCATACAGGAATAGAAACACATATACATGGTACTCCAATCCAATTTGAATTCTTAAATAAACCCAAAATCAAAGAAATGAACACTGTCAAAACAATTATAAAACAAAAGAACACTTTCTATGTTCTTTACAAACAGAAATCCGATATAAAATAATATGTGAGAAATTACAAACCCCTGAAGTAATACAAAAAATACAGTCCCTTAAAACATTAATAGAAAAGAAATATGTAATGATTTACCTAATGCATTTTGGAATAAGAAGCAACATATTATTAGTTTACCCTATGAGCCTGATTTTGATGAAAAGAAAATACCAACAACGGTTAGACCAATTCAAATGACTATTGAACTAGTACAAACATGTAAAACAGAAATAGAGCATCTATTACAGAAAAAACTCATCAGACCTAGTCAATCTCCTTGGAGTTGTTCAGCTTTTTGTGTAAATAAAAATGCTGAAAAAAAAAGAGGAGTTCCTCGTTTCGTTATTAATTATAAACCTCTTAATAAAGTTCTACAATGGATTAGATCTCCAATTCCTAATAAAAAAGATTTATTAGACAGACTTGTAAATGCAGTCATCTTTTCTAAATTTGATATAAAGTCTGAATTTTAGCAAATACAAATTAAAGAAGAAGATAAATAGAAAACAACATTTAATGTACCATTCGGCCAATTTGAATAGAATGTCATGCCTTTTGGTATAAAAAACGCTCCATCTGAATTTCAAAAAATAATGAATCATATATTTAATCCTTATCATAAATTTATGATAGTCTACATTGATGATGTATTAATATTCTCTGATTCAATAGATCAACATTTTAAACATCTGAATACTTTTATCAATACCGTGAAACATGCTGGATTAGTTGTTTCTGCTAAAAAGATCAATTTATTTCAAACAAAAATAAGATTTTTAGGACATAATATTGATCAAGGCACTATCATTCCCATTGATAGATCTATTTTATTTGCTGATAAATTCCTTGATAAAATTCTCGATAAAACCGAACTTCAAAGATTTTTAGGATGTTTAAATTATATTAGTGATTTTTATCAAAATCTTGCTATTGATGCAAAAATTTTATATGATAGACTAAAAAAGAATCCTCCACCTAGAAAGGATCTTCATACAACTGTTGTTCAACGACTTAAGTTGAAAGCTAAAGAATTGCCTTGTTTAACTTTACCTAATCCAACTGCCTTTAAAATAATTGAATGTGATGCTTCTGACATAGGATTAGGCGGAATATTAAAACAATCTATAGATTCCAAAGAACAACTCATTCGCTTTACCTCGAAAGCTTGAAATCCCACGCAAAAGAATTATTCTACTGTAAAAAAAGAATTACTTGCTATTATTCATTGTGTTACTAAATTTCAAAGTGATATTCTTAATCAACATTTTCTTATTCGTACTGATTGCAAAGCTGCCAAAGATATCCTGCAAAAGGATATTCAAAATCTCGTTTCCAAACAAATCTCTGTCCGCTGACAAGCTATTTTATCTGCTTTTGATTTCTCCATCGAACATCTTCACGGTGCTTCTAACTCTTTACCTGATTTTCTTACTCGTGAATTTTTGCAGGGGGGCCGTACATTACCACCTCTTCCACCTGAAGAGCCACTCCCTTACGGATTACAACTTTTTCATATGAATATGAATACTAATACAACTCATGCATCTCACAAATCAAAACAAAAAACCTCAATGGACTTAGTTCCTTTTTCATCTGAGTCTCTTATGCTCAGCCAACCTTTTTTACCAATACAACCAATGTCTCCACTTAGATTCACCAATGTACCAGAATATTTTATTCAAAGTCCAAAACATAATACACCAAGTCCTGCTTTGTCTCCAGCCCCAACCCCAAATAAGCCAACTTGCTCAGTACCTAAATCTACTTAGATAGATAATGCTTTTCTAGCTGATATTCCCATCGATGACAAACACATTCACATTGACCCACATAAATTAGCTCCCTTTTACCTTCAAAACCATTTAAACCCAATCAATGGTATCAAAACCCGTGAATGGTATGAATCCATTTTAATGGAAACAGGATCAGTTTCCATTGTTCATTTCTTTAAAGGAAATACAAACCTGTATGCTTATTCTAAGCTACAGATCAAAAAATTACTTACTTATAAGGATTGAGGTAATAACCCCACGCAAGGGAAAAAACTATTAAATACTGAATACCAATACAAATATTTTCGGTATGCTGAATACATTGAAGCCTGGCATAAAGTCTTTTTATACCAGAATCCTAATAATACTCATTCCTGGTACATACAGTTCAAAATGCCTATCCTTGAAAGGTTTCCTAGCTGGTTCCGTCATTGGTTCCTTATCTGGGGATCTTCTACCTAAATACTACCAGACAACTTCCAAGCCTTCCAAAATAAATTTGCTGAACATAATACTTGTACAGATTTGGTAGACTACCATCTTTATTTCATGTCCATATATCAAATACCTTGGATTTGCAAATGGGAGTATGCTATTTCTGAAAATAATTCGAATAATTATACATACATTCCCCATCTTGGAAAAACAATTAAAATCAAATGATGGGATATATTTAGCATAGATCCACGTACTTATCCTCTCAAATTGATTCCTCCATCCTCTGAGGTGTATAATACTTCTGCTCATAATACTGCACCCAATACTGTTGACCTACATACTTTCTCTTCTTATATTAAGCAAATGAAACAAGCCTATCATCATGCTACTTTTGCTGAATTAGAACAACAACTCTTTGGAATTTTTGCTGAACTTTCTACAGTACCGGCGACATCAGAAGAAACAGTCCAATCTGGTAATCCCTTATTAGAGGATTTCAGTAAAAAATCAGACCCGTAGGCCCAATAATCCATAATATCTTATCTCCATAATATCTTATCTACAATATATCCCATATCTGATATAATCCTCTCTTTCACTTGATAAGACTTGATATGACCTGCTAAACAATAAAAGCAAGATTCTTTCGTACGATAAGACCGCTGTATAGTAAACTCCTTACCCCAGTAATCGCCACGTATCAAGACAAGACCCCAAATGCAGTGTTACAAGATTCCGTTTTGATTTGACTAAATATTTGTCGCATCAATGCCTTCATCGATCTTTCGTCGACCAATGAGAAACAACCACGTTCCCGACAAGGCCCCGACATTTCTGCGTCACGACAACAGCCCTTATCTATACAGCATCTTTACATCACATCACCGATGCGTCCTCACTCCTTCTCTTTCAGCCATCACCTTCAGCCAGCTCACCTGAAGATAAGAATGAATCACAGACGCATCCCAGCCATCCACCTGTTGCACATCGACGCATCCATGCATCTATAAATACCACCTCCTTCAACAAAGAAAGTAGGTCGAGTTTCAAGGACGCCATATGAGAAGACCTTTTTCATCACATCCTTGAGTCATCTCTTCCTCATCTCTTTTCTCTTTCTCTTTTCTTTTCTACTGTAAATTCTCATACAGTAGGTTTGCTTTCATAACAGTCCTGTATAAGCGACATACCGTTGGTAACCTCTATTACTCTGTAATTTTAAATGTGTGATTGTAATATCCCTTCTCTTCCCTCTTACTGTCCTTCTGAATGGCGTATCTTCTCCAGTTATTGTCTTTGTAAACAGTGAGTTGCAATATTCTATTAAGTTTTAAATAGATCGTGGATTGTCTTAAATATTTCTTTAATCACTGCTGTCTTTCTAATTGTTTTATTCTTTTATTATATAGGAATCTTACAATAATTAATCAATTATAATTATACTCTGTTCATGTTCCTAAGATAAAATTTTAAATAAATTTTTAAATAGATTTGTAAGTGGTAATCTAAACTGGTTGATCTTGGCGCGTGATGGTATCAAAGCCATACCAGTTCACACTTGTTCACTGTTCATAATTGGTAGAGGATCATTAGTCTGAAAAACAACTTCATCTTAGGAAATCTAAGAAAATTGTCCATTTAAGGATGTTGGTCCGAGAGTTGGGGTTAGAGACGCTCAGACACTCAGTCTAAAGATTGTTAAGGCCAGAAGAGCCGCTGAGGTCGAAACAGACATAAGAGGTAGTCAAAGAGGACTGTCCAGATAACACTCATCCGCAACCTACAAATGGAAAATTTTATTAGAAATCTCACAAATAAAACTGTTAGTCAAACTAGTAATACTCTACGAATGAAGAACAAAGAAGAAGTAGTGATAAAGGATATTGAAAACCAAATACAAAATTGGAATATATCAAAAGTACCCATCTCTAATATTTATAAAAAAGGAACATTTGATTTAAAAATAGGTTATGCTATAAAAACAGTAGAACAAACTTTGTCTGTTACTACGAACCAGAAAGACTTTCAACTCTTATCAAATAAAATATTACAAGAACATAAAAATAAGAATTATAAATATGTACATATTGGTTTAATACAAATTGCAGTTAAACCATTAACACGATTATGACTCAACAATTCTGTCCTTGTATGCCTAAGAGATACAAGGCATAATCGGTTTTCTGATTCATTACTTGGAATGGTGGAATCCAGTCTGTGTAGTGGACCAATATATTTTAAATCTTCACTGTTCATAATTGGTAGAGGATCATTAGTCTGAAAAACAACTTCATCTTAGGAAATCTAAGAAAATTGTCCATTTAAGGATGTTGGTCCGAGAGTTGGGGTTAGAGACGCTCAGACACCCAGTCTAAAGACCGTTAAGGCCAGAAGAGCCGCTGAGGTCGAAACAGACATAAGAGGTAGTCAAAGAGGACTGTCTAGATAACACTCATCTGCAACCTACAAATAGAAAATTTTAATAGAAATCTCATAAATAAAGCTGTTAGTCAAACTAGTAATACTCTACGAATGAAGAACAAAAGAGAAGTAGTGATAAATGATATTGAAAACCAAATTCAAAATTGGAATATACTAAAAGGACCCATCTCTAATATTTATAAAAAAGGAACATTTGATTTAAAAATATGTTATGCTATAAAAACAATAGAACAAACTTTGTCTATTACTACGAACCAGGAAGACTTTCAACTCTTATCAAATAAAATATTACAAGAACATAAGAATAAGAATTATAAATATCTACATATTGGTTTAATACAAATTGCAGTTAAACCATTAACACGATTAGGACTCAACAATTCTGTCCTTGTATGCCTAAGAGATACAAGGCATAATCGGTTTTCTGATTCACTACTTGGAATGGTGGAATCCAGTTTGTGTAGTGGACCAATATATTTTAATTGTTTTTTTAATTATTCTGTATCTTTAACAGATCCTAATATTTTAAATGTTTTATCTTTAAACCTGAAAACACAGGGATTTGACATGAGAATAGGATCCCAAAATATTGTCATAATATATCGACTATATTGTAAAGTTATGACTACTTTATGTCCTAATGTACTTCAAGTAGATACTAGAGGACAAACTATATTATTTCAAACAAATATAGAAAAATCTAATACTATTGTCCCCAGAACTATATCATGGTCAGAAATAGTTCTACCACAATAATGGTCAATACATAATGATCATCAACCTTCACAATGTCCTGTTCAAAGTATTCCAAATAGGATAATTGAACATAATGATGGTAATATCGAAATACAATTTACAAATGATCGAAAATATGTAACTCAAGATGATTCAAATATCTCTTCTAAACCAATTAAAATAGAACCAGCTCGAAGTTCTGTTACCATTTATAACAGACATTCTCAAAGATTAGTAACATCAGAACAGAGACCTATATCCTGAAATAGTCAAACATCTGAACCACAAATTCAAGGATTACTTAGAACATCTGAAAATGTTATTATTCCTCAATATAAACCAGCCCAAGATGAACCTGATGAATCATAATTTCATATATTAACTCTTCAAAAGAAGAAAAAATCAATAAAACTCTTATTACAAATGATTATTTATCTGAGGAAAACAAACATATTCGGCATTGGTATCTTAATCCTTTTGAACCTAGATTAGTAGAATTATTCCATAAAAAGTTTAATACATTTATTAAAAAAGAGAAAACAACAATATATTTCTTTGATTGGTTCAGAAAAATATGAAGTGATAAAAATATTAAAATACCTGATTTTGAAGTAAATACTCTTGAATCCCAATTTACAAAATTTAATACTACTAATGGCAAAGAAATTACTTGTATACATCCTCCAGAACAAAGTCTAACCATTAAACGCGTTAGTAAACAACCTTCAGAAAAAGATGCAGAGGAATCAAGTAGTTTTACTCAAATCGTTGTATATGAAACTACAACAACCCCATATAAATTAACTACTTCAGATGTCACAAGATTTGACTTACTTCCTCATATAATTGAACAAAATAATTATACAAATCTTTATTTACAAACATTAGGTAAACAAACTGTACGAATTGAAAATCTTTTATCTCCAGCTCCATCCATTCCTGTACCAAAACAGAAAAAGCTGAATAACTCCAAGGAGATTGACTGGGTCTTATGAGTTTTTTCTGTAATAGATCCTCTATTTATGTTTTACATGTTTGTACTAGTTCAGTATTCATTTGAATTGGCCTAACCTTTGTTGGTATTTTCTTTTTATCAAAATCAGGCTCATGAGGTAAACTAATAATATGTTGCTTCCTATTCCAAAATGCATTAGGTAAATCATTACATATTTCTTTTTCTATTAATGTTTTAAGGGACTGTATTTTTTGTATTACTTCAGGGGTTTGTAATTTCTCACATATTATTTTATATCAGATTTCTGTTTGTAAAGAACATAGAAAGTGTTCTTTTTGTTTTATAATTGTTTTGACAGTGTTGATTTCTTTGATTTTGGGTTTATCTAAGAATTCAAATTGGATTGGAGTACCATGTATATGTGTTTCTATTCCGGTATGCGTAATTGTCATGGGATAAAGTAAAGTCAGAAAAGGTACACCAAGGATAACATCTTGACTTAATCCTTTAACCATGATAAAAGGGGTTGAAAAACAATGTCCATTATTGCAGATCATGGCATTTGATAATTTATATTTAATATATAATCGACTACCATCAGCAGTGTTTAATATTTGAGTTGTTTTATGAAAATATTTAGTAGGTACTAATCCTTCATTGAGACAGTTTAAATCTGCTCCAGAGTCTATTAAGGCTAAAGATTGGAAATCATACTCATTATTGATTACAATTTTGATTAATACAAACCATTTTTTAGTAATTACTTTATTAAGTATATTGACAGATGTAGTATCGTCTTCTTTTATTTTGACTCTTGAAGATTCAGGTGTGTTTTTATGATTATAAGTATGGACTAAATTATTAAATTCAATATCATCATTTTCAATTGCAGCTTCTGAAGCGTGATTTTGTAACTCAAGTATTTCTATCCTATGTTTTAATTGAGATACTTCACTTTTATTATTATTGACCTCTGTTTTGAGGTCAGCAATAGTGGATTCTTTATGAATAGCTTCATGTTGGCTGATTCTTTTCATTATAGTAGAGAAATTATATTCATCTGAATGTTTGATTAAAGCAACTGGTTTGGGTTTTTCTTTAGTTAAATTAACTACCAGTCATTTTTTGTTTATCAAGTTGTTTCTTTAATTTCATATCTGTGCATAATGCTAATCCTTCAGCACATATTTCAGCAGATAATTCTCCTAGCATATATTTAGAATAATTTATTATACCACCATTTTTATTTTTAAGACGTTCTTTTACCTTTTTAGCAAATAAATAAGGTAATCCAGCTATGAATTTTTCTTTCCAATATTTAAGTTGATTAGCTTCTCTGAGTAATAAACGGGAAAAAAATACATCTTTGTACCATTTGTAATGGGATAACGTTGGACATCTTAAATTAGATAAAAGATCTTTGGATCTAGATTCTATGACAGCTGTATTTCCTATAAAATGGAGAGTAATAGTATAAATTAGTGTATTAACAACATCACTTTCTGTATACAAGACATCTTGGTTTTGTTCATTTTTGACAGTCCATTGTCGTGTATTATTTAATATTTGTTTTTTAATGGATTCTGGGAGGTGAAAATCCCACCATCCTCGTAATCATCCTTAAAACCACAGATTATGGCTTTTGCTATTTCTTGATCATGGGTTCCTACCATTTTACATACAGATGCATACATTGTCATATGTCTCATAGTATCTAAGATTTGATGTTCAGAAATTCCATCTATATTCCAGTTTACTAAAGTTCTTCCTGAATAGGAAAAAGTATTAGATATGAAAGCTTCTTCAAATTGGATATCAACAGGTGTTGGTCTTCTATGATATGGTAAGGCTGTTGCAGGTTTCCAATTTTTGGAATATGTAATTTTGTGGATTTCATCTGTATGTGGACTAGATGTCATAGATTGATTAAATGCTTGTTCTCTATTTTCAATTGTATCATTTAGAGATTCATCAAATTCTTCTTGAAGCATTAAGGTTTCATCTTCATGAACCCTTTCTTTAGCTTTATTTGTAATATCAAGTTTAGATAATTTTGATATTAATTGATCCATTAATGTTTTATTATCATCTCCAATAAAAAAATTTTCTGTATTTAATTCGGGAGGAGGTTTGAATAGTAATTGTTTTGGTACAGGAATGGATGGAGCTGGAGATAAAAGATTTTCAATTCGTACAGTTTGTTTACCTAATGTTTGTAAGTAAA